GGGGGGGGGATTCAAGAAGGCTCTAAAATAGCCAAACCCTCACCTACCCAGCAGAAAATCAGTGGTCATTCTAAACCTAGAGCTACCAATTTGTGCATGTTATTTGGCAATAAGGAGAGGGATACTATGAGACATTATTAAGCATGAAATGTCCACGTTTGGAACCACACTGGATGAGAAGTCTGGGACAGATGACTCCTATCTAAGCCTTTTGGTGTTCTTTCTTTTTGCTTTTAACTATGTGTTGCTTACTCAAACAAAAACAAAATTCAGTGTAAAATGTGAAAAGCAAATTTTAAAGCTATTAATAATTTTGAAATCCATGTTTGAGATTTGTCTATATTGATTATCTATGCATAAGACATCAGGTAATACAAGTTGTTATTCATGAAAATACCTTAAATCATAAGCTGCATGTTTAGATGATTCTCCACTCTTTTTTTCGTTTCTCTTTTTAATTGTCAGGGTGATTCTGGGGGCCCCTTAGTTATAAGAGATAATACAGACACCTGGTATCTCATCGGAATTGTGAGCTGGGGCGACAACTGTGGTCAAAGGAACAAACCTGGAGTCTACACAGAAGTGACTTATTACCGCCGCTGGATTGCTTCAAAAACAGGCCTCTAACTCATCATAAACATTAAAAGCAGAGAGCTGCCCGCAGGTTATACATGTATGAAACCCAGATCCTCAGTAGGCAGGGCACAACAGAGTGAGAATAAGTGGCAGTTTAGCAACATGAAACGCATTAAATGATTTATTTTCAAGTCCCATTGGTTAAGCAGTAGCCCATAGCTAATTTATAAGATACTTTTATTTGTAAGGCAATGGATCACTTTATCCTGGCTTGAAAACCACAGCTGGAATATTCAGCTCTTCAAATGAAGTAAACATGGGTATAATGGAGATGCAAACAAATGCCTGAACATGCAAAAGTCCCCATGGGATAAAATTATGTCCTATTGTAAATTTTGAAGGCCATTATTCATTTTGGGGGGGAAGTTATGACAAGAGTAGTAAAAAATTTTACTGATGTGCTGAACATTTACCATCATCTTTCTAAAGAAAATAGAGAATAAGTGATACTTCAGTCAGCAGCTGTTTCAATTACAGAATACAGGCTGTTGTCCTACACACACTGAGCTTATGGAATCTCTCTCTATCAACATATCCAAGGCCTGAGGATGGTCTTTGAGAGTCCTATGTTGCTTTGCCAGGGGTGTCAGTAAGAAGCATCTTAAATTTTCGAAGAATTCAGAAAACTCAATGACTCTCTACCATTTCTCTAGAACTCACAAATACTTTTTTCTCATTTTTCCTTATTCTCCCTTGTTTTTCAAATATTTTTCCACCACAAGAAATACTACTTTAAAGCATTTTGATAAAAGAAGTGTATATGTAAGGAAACAAAATCTGATAGTAAAAACCTCAAGAACCTTTTGTGATATTTTAACACACTTGTGTGTGCCATCCTACAAATATATTCAGAGAAGACATGATTAACAACACATTGTTTAATCAAACGTATTTTTGTTATGGAAATTTGGGGGATGGTGACAGTGACTTTTCTGGGTCCAGGATGAGGGTACAAGAATTTTAAAGATGCACTGACACATGCTGATCACCAGGGGGAGATTTTGTCCATTGTTAAATGTCTAAAAATAATCGAGAGTTTACTAGACACCAGAAAAGTTAAAGAACACTGCTTTTCCCACATAAAAAGGAAAAGTATAATCCCTAAATTTTTACCAGCAATCAGCCCCTATCAAATGAACATTATTGCAATCATAGGACCCTGATGGCTTAAAAATTATATTTAAAAATAAATACAAATTTTTGGATTCCTGCCACATGGAATGGAGGAACCAAGTGGTCTGAAACAGAAAACATGCTTCCTAGGTAAAGTGTCTCATGAAGCCTTTAGGAGAGTTAGGCTTCTCTATTCCATACCGCAAGTAAAGAAATGCTTCACAGAAACCTTGCCCTGCTTGGCAGTGCCTGTGCAACTTCAGACCTGCGGCTGACTATTATTCACCTCACAGCACAAATAAAAGCCAAATAAATCATTGGACAGTGGAACTACTTTATCATTTCTACCACATTCACTGAGAAGGCAGAAGAGCCCTACAGGAGATCTGTATTTAGTCACAAATGATTTACCCAAACTTCAGCCTCACAAAAGCTTAAAGCTTACAGAAGATTGCACAAGTCATACACTTACACTGTGGTTAAGAAAACTGAAGTCAGGAAACACAAATGACCTGTTGAAACTGCACTTAGTGGCACGCGAGTGGTCCTGAGCCCAGGAACCAGTTCTGCATATTTTTTTTTCTTGTAAAGTACCTTTATGGTTGCCCTAATAAGTCACTGGGCCTGTGAAGTCCTTGGTAGAAGCTGTTGAACTGTATTAAATTAGGAAATACTTAAGGCTATGATTTTAAATGATTAACTTAAGTGGCTTGCTGCCAGTTCTCTGACCTTATTTGTCCTGACAAGTTGCTTCTTTACATACATAAGCATACATGAGCATGTAGATTACTATGTATTGTGGTGGTAAGATTTAATGCTGACTTTTGGTGCTAAGAATCAAGAAATGATGTTAGATTATGAAACATATATTTATAAACTGATTTGTGTCTTTATCATTTAATTTGGAACCATGCGTATTAAAATGTAGATATATCATCTTAAATCTAATAAAGTTGGTGATCAAAGCATCCTATAATGTTACTGACTTCATGTTTGCCCAGAAGGGTGAATTTCCAAATCTCTCAAATGCTGTAAAGAGACACATTTCTTTGGTTCACTGATAACAAATTTGAGTCATTTTTAAGCAAGATTGCATAACTTTGATGCTCTTGACATTTTGACCTGGAAATTGTGTGTGGAAGGGATGTCCTGTTCATTGTAAAATACACAGCAGCATCCTACCAAAGGCCCTCAGCATACCCTTTCCCAAAATTGTGCTAACAAAACAAGCCTGTGGGAAATGGCAAAAGTCCCTGAGGAATAAAATATAACACTATTAAACAAACACTATTTTGAAGGCTGTTAATAATTTGGAAAAAAATCAAATTATAACAAAGACTATTAAGAAACTATACTATTGCACTGAACATTTGCCATCAAGTTTCTAAAGGAAATAGAAAATTAATGATATTTCAGTCAGTAGCAATTTCAAATACAGAATACATACTGTTCTATGCATATCAAGCTTATAGAATCTCTCTCTGCCAACAAATCCAAGGCCCTGAGTTCCACCTCCAGCACAGTCCAAAGAATAATAGTAATGATAGTGATAATTTTACTCATATTTTTGTCTAGAATATAATAAGGCATCATTAATAATTACTACAGAGGCTATCCCCGCATCCTAGTCAACCCATCAGAGTTCTGCTGAGCCTAGCCACCCATTCTTGCCCTGAAGACTTCTGGGGAGACTCAGCAGCCCTATCCCTGCCCCTGTAGCCATAAGGCTGGAGTTCTGCTGAGTCTGGCCACCGCTCCTCACCCTGAAGCCCATCAGGCAGACCTGACTACACAGGGACCTGCAGGAGCCTTGGAGAGCCCTATCCCACACCAACACAGGATTGAGAGAGCTTTGCAGAACGTCATTCTGCACTTATCATCATCAGATCCTTCTTGAACTGTGGCTTGTCCCTCTCACCTCAGTGAGGTGTAAGTCACATGGAACCCCACACAGCAGGAGCTTTTGGTGAGCCTACCCTTTCCTCCCGCTCTCCTGAGAGCCTTACTGCCCCTCACCCTTCCCACCTATCATCACTGCAGAGTCAGAGAGAACACTGGGAATTCAAAAAATGACAAAATGAAAGACAGAAGGTAATCTCAGACCTCTAGCCCACCCAAAACAAGTCCAGGAGACAAGGTCATAGAACTTTGAAGTCACATACCTGAAATTTCTGAAATGATAGCAACTCAAGTAAAGAAACTACTCCATCAGGCTATGGAGGAAATCAAATCAGAAATAATCTCTGAGGTAAAAAAGGAAATGACAACAATCATGAAAGAAATGCTCAATTCATCTAAGGAAGACATAGATTAAAAAAATAGAAGGGAAGAGAAAAATGATGAAAGCAGTTAATGTTCAATACAGGAAAGAACTAGAATACATGAAACAGATTCAAAAGGATATCCATAAATACATAATTAAAAAATAATAATTAAATTGAAAGCTGGCAAAACTGCATGAACAAAACAGAAGATAGAATTTTGGACCTTGAAGATACATTGCAACTAGTGAATAAGACAGGAAACATCTCTTAAAAGTAATGAGAAACCAGGAAATAACAACACAACAGCTGCATGTATCAGTGAAGCAGCTGGTGTGAATGCAAAAGACATAAAAAGAGTATTTGCAGAAGTAATAGCAGAAAATTTACCAAGCATGGGGAAAAAATTTTTAATATACAGTTAAGTGAGGAATATAGAACTCCAGCAAGCCATAATAAAAATAAATCTTCACCCAGACACATAATACTTGAGATCTCAGAAACAGAGCAAAAGAACAGAATATTAAAAGCTGTTAGAAGGGCCAGCCAGATAGCTCAGTGGACTAAAGTGCTTGTTTAGGCAGAGCCGTGCTGCCCCCGCCATGCTCCTACCTCCGTGCTCTGAGATGGTGATTGAGACTGGGTGTGGTGGCACTTGCCTGTAATCTCAGCGTTTGGGAGGCTGAAAACAGGAGAATTGCTACAAGTCCAATCTACGTAGTGAGATCCTGTAGATCCTATCCTAAATACATTAAAAATAAATAAATAAAAGCTGTTAGAAGAAAAATAACAATACAATGCTGTTGTATTGTTATTTCTTGGTTTCTCATTACTTTTAAGAGATGTTTTCTTTCATATTCACTAGTTGCAAAGCTATCTTCAAAGTCCAAAATTCTATCTTCTGTTTTGTTCAAGCAGTTTTGTCAGCTTTCAATTTAACTATTTTAATTGATTTTGGGGGAAAAATCATCTATATTGGAAAGCCCATCAGAATCATGGCAGATATCTCAACACAAACCATCAAATCAAGAAGAGCTTGGAGTGAGATATTTGCAATCCTGAAAGAAAACAACATTCAACCCAGATTGATGTATCCTGCAAAACTATCTATCAAATTTAATGGAAACATTAGATACTTCCATGACAAAAAACAACTCAGGAAATTCATGACAACCAAACCAACCCTACAAAGAGTATTGGAAGATATTTTAGAAAGAGACAAAGATGACAACAACTTCAAAAATAACAGTAATTAATCACA